AGCCGCGTCCCCTCCCCTCCCCGGCCCGGCCCGGCCCGGCCCCACCGCCTACCTGCCCGCTCCTCCGGCCGCCGCCGCCGCTCCCAGGCTGCTCAGCGAGCTCCGCCCGCAGCAGGCTGGGAGCTGTAGTCCGGCGCGGGGATGCTGCAGGCGCCGCCTGTCTGCACCGAGCCCTGCCCGCAGGCGGCTCTGGCTTAAGCATGCCCGGGTAAGCTGCTCCGATGCTCCCCTGCCCCCGCAAGAAAGGTTGTCGTGGTGCCCAGCCTCCACCCTCGTTGCAGCCGGGGAGCAGCGCGCCTCGCTCGGCCCCGTCCTCCGTGGGGTGCCGATGCGGTCGCGGCCGTGACCTTCTCGCGGGAGCCCCGCGTTTCACCGAGGCTTCCAGCTGGCTGGAGGGGGTTGAAGCTGCCGTTCAGTCCCCCTCTGCAGGCTGAATCCGCCCAGCCCCCTCGGCTCATCTGTCACGTCCCCCCAGCCCCCCGAACCATTTTTGGTTGCCCTCCACTGGGCTCTTCCCTAATTTGTCCACGTCCTTTCCCTAGCGGTGGCCCAAAACTGGACACCGGACTCCAGATGTGTCCTCGAGGGGAGGAATCGCTGCGCTCGACCCGCCAGCAATGCTGCTGCTTGTGCCATTCACCTTCTTGGCAACTAGGCCTTGGCTTGCATACTTTGTGCTATATACTTACCCGGCAGGGGAAATACCAGGAGCCCTATGGGGGTTTTCCTAGTCACTCTTCTGGCAGGGGTTAGTACCCATGGAGGTAATGTGTAGGTAACCTCCCACTTTCATTTCCAGCGGGAAGACCTTGGCATTACACCCACTTTATGGAAATGGGAGACTCCTCCCTAGCTTGCTTTTGCAGCCATATGGCTGAGGGCGAGTAAAACTTGGGTATATCTGAACCCCAAGCCTCCGGGCTTGGGCCTGCACGTAGGATGCCTGCCAAAGGATTTGGAAGCATCTGAAGCCCCAGGAGGTGGAGGATGTTTGCCAGGTGCAGGACCACATTCGGTTCTTGAATGACTCATGGATTTGGCTTGGAACACACAATTTTCTGTAAAAAAAAATCCCCAAAACTGGGGCACACTGTTGGCTCATATTCAGCTTATTGTCCACTGTAACCCCCAGGTCCTTTTCTGTGGAGATGCACAGAAAGGGTGGTTTAGGCAGCATCCTGAGGCTGGGTCTTGCCTTCACCTGCGAGTGCGCCTGCTTCCCTTCTTGGAAGCCAGCAACCCATTTATCTGCTCTAATAACGACCCCCCAGCGTAGAGAAGAGGAGGCAGGGTTTGCATCCCAGCCTGCCCTTCTTTGCTTGTAGGATTTGACATGGATAGGACCTGATCGTGAGACAAGCTGTTCTTGGCGTATTGGATATTGTTCTCTATAGTTGTGTGTGAGCAACTGAGGTGGTGACTGCAGGGCGGTTCCTTACCTACCGACAAAAAAGGAGGCGCCCTCCAGTTATGTTCCTATATTTCTAAGATGCATCACACCTTCCATCCAAGGATCTCAGACTGCTTTATAGAAGCAATGTACTTCACTTATATAATATTGGATAAGTGCATAATTAGCTTACTTACATAGCATATTGCCCACACATTGTATCATCTAGTATTGCTGCATTTTAATTACCATGTTGGTTAGGTGCATGCACTGCTTACGTGCATAGCATATTTCAGCTCTGCTGTCTACTTTATAACTTCATTGTACTTGGATAATTGCATGTTGACTGTAATGGTAGTTCTTTACCTAGTAACTAATTGGCCTTGATTTAACTGCCAGAAACAGGGAACGGGAAGCTGCTGTCAAAGAGGTGCCATTAGAGCTTCGGAAATGAGCAGGACTAATCTGTTTCATGGCTGCTCTCTCCCTTTATTTTCAAAGCATCTAATAGAACAGGGGCGACCAACCTGTGCCATAGGTGCCATGTGTGGCACAGGCAGCATCTGTGTGTGTGCCCTGTGGCAGGTTGGGGAGGGGACAGGTAGCACAGCAGCAGATAGGGCTGGGAGCAGAAAGCATAGCATCAGATCAGGTGGGGAGCACAGGGCAGGGAGCAGAAAGCAGAGCAACAGGTTGGTCAGGGAGCATAATGCGAAAAGCAGAAGAGCAGATCAGGTAGGGGAAAGGGATCAGAGTGGCACTTGGGAGGATGGGGAGCTAATTTGTGGCTTGCCTGCCGAAAACAAGGCTGACTCCCCCTGTAATAGAAGCCTCGAAATATGAGGAGAAAAACCTTGGAAATTCAGGAAGCTGGGCAATTTCCAAACTGTTAGCACCACAGCCTTGAGAGCACAGGGCATGTATGTACTTAGCAAGCCTTGCTTACAGTGTTATTGGTGCCACGGTTTTAGCAACCCCAAAACCAACGAGTTTCCTTCATTTGTAAGGCTTCTAATAGCAGAGCTGACTTGAAAATTATGGGGGTTGTCAGTCTGGGGGCTGCCAAATACCATGGCACTGATAAATCTTTAAGCAATGCATGTTAAGTATACAGTGCTGCCATTGCTGTGATACTCGAAGACCCCAAACTGACTAGCTCCCCTTATTCTCAGAGTTTCTAATAATGAATATATGGGCTGCCATCAAAAACTCTGCAAATAAAGAAAGCTGATCAGAAGCCCATGACCTCAGCACAGTGGGTTCGCAAACTATTTTAGACTCGAGGTCCCCCTCAAAAAATGCCAGCTCTTAGCTTTTGCTTGTTTATTTTTACCACAGAAACAAATAGAGCAGCTCTTCTGCTGCAAAGAGCTCAGAAGGGCCACAACAGGTCAAATATGTTTTTGACACTGTGGGTTTCTATTTGAAACATCTAGGTTTATGTTGTGAATTGTATAGGCGCTGGCACACCTAACAGTACTAATATTGTGTGGCATCCTTAAAAGGATGGCATGAACCCTGGTTGAGAATCATTGTTCTAGCTATTATTCAAGTCGCTCTGTTCCAGTAACATACATTTTTGTTCTTGAATCAATGGAGAATCATAAAATCATAGAAAATTAGGGTTTGAAGGGACCACGGGAGGTCGCATCTAATCCCGCCCTCTGCTCAAAGCAGGACCAGCCCCAACTAGATCATCCCAGCCGAGTCTTTGTCTACCTAGGTGTGTAAAACCTTCAAAGATGGAGTTTCCACTATGTCTCTGAGTAACCTGTTCCAGTGTTTTACTACTCTCCTAGTGAGAAAGTTCTTCCTAATATTTTACCTAAATTTCCTTTGCTGCACCTTGAGACCATTGCTCCTTGTTCTGTTATGTGCCACCACTGAAAACAGTCCAGCTCCATCCTCTTTGGAACCTGGTTCAGGTAGTTGAAGGTTGCTACTCCACCCCCAGTCTTCTCTGCTCCAAACTAAATAAGCCCAGTTCCCTCAGCCTCTCCTCATCTCCTTTATAAGTTAGTAATTCAGGACCTTTGAGGCTTGGTGGAGAGGTTCTAATGGTATCTAGTAGCATATAAGCAATACATCTGCTGTATTACATTAATAGGGTCCCCATTTTACAGATGGGGAACTGAGGCATACAGTGATTTTTTGTGGCTTGATTATGACTGTACAGGCACTCTATAGATGAGATGGGTATAGGAGCCAGATTGTCTGACTCTTAACCATTTGATTATTAATGCAGACATACAGATTGGCTCTCTTCTTTGTGAATATGCAGCCACAAGGATCTAAAAACCTACCTCTGACCATGGATTGTGCACAGATTTGTGCTCCAAAGCCAAAGACTGAACCAGAATCTGCGGCACCATCCTCTGATTGGGGAAGTTATCATAAAATATTGGAGCTCAGCAGTGTAGTCAGTCAGTGCACTTCTCTAGGGAGCAGGGACGAGCCCTGAGTTGAATCACAAGGGGAAATGAGATCCATTGCGTCCTTACTAGCTTCCCTCTCCGTGCCCCGGTGACAGTAGAGTGCTGCGGACATCTACTGAATAGAGTACCAGCACCCTCGGGGATGCGCGTTCCCCAGAGAGGTGGCATTGTCTACGGTCATGTCTGTCTGGTACGTTGTGGTCCCACATCAGTCATTAACGTGCCTCCCCTCCCCCATTTTGGCCTAATTAGTGGTAGCCAGAAGTCCTTGTCTGAGGTGGTGTTGAAGGTCTGAACGTGACTTGGCAAGACCTTTGTGAATTTTCTTTGTGTGTTTTCCTAAAGTCTCTGAAATGACTTTGTTATTGGGAAAAGGACCGACTATCTTTTGTTTACCTGCAGAATAGCAGCAGGGCAAACTCCTTCCAGCCAATGGGTAGATGAGTAAGGAAGGAAAAGCCCATAAGCTTTGCTAAAAACATGATACTTATGGACTGACCTGACACCATCATGGCTGGAAGAGCTGGTAGACCAAGGGGCTTTGGCTATTAATGAATGCAGTCCTAGTCATGCATTGTCATGGGATGGTTGCTTTGGTGGCCCATGTGAAATGAGCTGGGGACTTGGCACAGAATGGATTCACATGGTACAAGACAGGCACTGACAGGCCCCAGTGATGATGCTCTCAGTAGCAGCATTAAGGGCAAAACAGGCCAAGGAGACCAAAGTCCCTTCACAGCACTGAAGTTTGTTCCTTTCAGGTAAGGGGAGGATAGGAAAGTCAGCTCAGGCTCCCTGTGCAGTGCTTTCCAGGGAATGCACAAAGGACATCAGCATCTAGTGCAGGCTGGCAGTGTCCACAGCAGCCAGCAAAAGCTTCTAAGGCTGGTCCCTTTCAACTATACTCATCTGCATTGCACATCAATAACAACGCAGAATAAGGATTTAAAGATGAGGAAATGAGCTTTTAACTTGTGCTGTTGGGAGTGGGGGAGGCAGTATTTGTAATTGATTGAAAAAAATGAAACAGTGACAAAATGAGGTTGTAACTTA